AGCAACGGGCGCTTGGAACGCGAGTCGTCACCGAGAGCCGCGAGGTCTCTGTCATGTCTTATCGCCCAGCAGCCTCAGCTCACAGCTCTTGTGACTAAGGCACTGGGCTCACCAGAGTGCCACAAACCAATTCTTCCTCAGCCAGTAACAGTTAAGCTGCCGGTTCCTTCCCCTCCCGATCTTAGGGTACCAAAAGATTCCTTTATCCTTCAGCTATAGATTCACAAACATTATACTATCTTTCTTACACACATGAAAACACTAAAATTTGAGAAAAATTAACTAGACATTGGAAAATCTAGACACGAACCAGAAAAAGAATACAATTAAGACTCATTTCTTTATGCAAAACTTCTAAAACTTTAATTGTTAATTCACCTCTGAACAGTTACACAATCTTAGCATGAACACACCATAATGGAAATGGCAAACTGGCAATTTGTTTTCAGCCTCTGATGAGCAGAGTGAGAGGCCTGAGAAATCCTGGTATGGTCACAGAAGAAAAAAATATTTGCAACAATACTTTTGTGAATACTGTGGCAGCATAGCTGTGGAAGTTAAATTACCTAAGAAATTCAAATTGCCACCTCGATGCATCCATGGTAGACACCAAAACCACGAACTTTTTAATATAACTGCTAAAAGAACCTCTGTCCTCAAATAGTTAACTACAGACTGTTTTCTAGGGCTGTGTGTTACCCCCTCACCCATGGCAATGGAGCACTGAAATACACATCGGACATTTACTGGTAATTAACCCTAAGGTGAGGCAACAGGCAAGAGAACCAGTAGCACAGCATACTGTTTGCCAACTGGAATCTGCTTATCACACCACAAAAACCAGATACTGGCTTATTGTTAGTTTACATTTGAGCAATGGCATAAATTAGAAAACTGCACTGGAGATACTACCTCTGAACCCTTTAAGGTGACTGTCTTAGTAGTACTGTTAGTCATTTGAAGATACAGCTTGGTAAATAAATTAACTGTTACACCCAGAGCTGCCTCAACATGTTTTCTACTGCAAGCAGAAAAAACAAACGTTTAACTGAAGAATACAACAGAAGATTCAAGCCAAGGAAAGAATTACTAATTCACTAATGAATTTCAGCTTGGGTAGAAGGGAGCAGAGGTGATTCAAATAAGGTTTCAGAACACACAGTAGAACTGGCAGCTCTCAAGTTGATCCCTGGTTTAATATTTGTGTGACAATTTCTCCACAGGTTGTTTGGTTTGTAACTGACAGACCGATGCTGTGCTTTAGCACTGGCTATCCACCAGAGCGCGGGGTGTCTCCTGTGCTGCAGGCAGCTCACCAGAAGGGCCTGGTGTCCTGTGCTGGCTCCGGGGTGCGCCTCAGCAGGTACACGGCAGCGTGCAGTCCCCCCACGTTCACCCACACGGTCTGGGCTCGGCGCCAGATGTGTCCCACGCGCGACAGCGCCTGCGCCAAAAACAGACACAGCGCCGTCAGTCAGGACAGTAACATTCATTTTCATTATTCCAGATCACATCTGATGGCAACACCAAAGGACTCTCCAGGTCCAAAATTGAATTCAAGTGTTACTAATGATTTTGTAACGATGGCAGCTTACAATTTTTCTCTCAATGTATTTTCAAGTGTAAATAGGTTTGATTTTCTCTCAAAAACAGAACAAACCTTGGCAAAGCACTTCTTGTCCTGGGTGAGCAGCACAGCCCTGCCTGTCCCTGGGGTGCAGATCCGGCCCATCTCCATCAGGCAGGCTGGGTACAGGTCCCAGTTCTTCTTCTTCGACCCTATCCTGCAAGATACATTGAGATCCCCGCTGCGACCCCCGGCACCAGCTCAGTGCCGCTGTGTCTCGGACACGAATCGGATCGTTCAGGAGCACAGTGATTCAAGC